GAGAGGCACGAGAGAGAGGCGCTGCAGCAAGACAGCAGCAGCAACTGCAGCAGCAAACCCTGGTGTATGAGCAGCAGCAACAGCAGCAGCAGCAGCAGCAACAGCGATAAAAGCAGTAACTGCAGCAGCAGCAGCAGCAGCAACAGCAGCAGCAGCAGCAGCCGCATGCAGAAACAAAGCGGCGGCGAGCTAACTCACATGTGCTGCTGTTGCTGCTGCTTTTGCTGCTGCTGCGGCTGCGGCTGCTGCTGTTGCTGTTGCTGCTGCTGTTGCAGTTTCTCCCGCTGCTGGGATTGCTGTTGCCCATGCCGTACTTGCTGCTGCTGCTGCTGCTGCTGCTGCGGCTGCTGCTGCTGCTGCTGCTGCTGCTGCGGCTGCTGCTGAGTGTTGCTGCGCACTGGGCGTCATAGAGGCGGCGACAAGCCGGCGTCTGCAGCAGCAGCAGCAGCAGCAGCAGCAGCACAAGCAGCAGCAAGAGCAGCAGGAAATAAAGCAGCAGCTACAGGCAACTGTAACAGCAACAGAAGCAGCAGCAGCAGCAGCAGCAAGAGCAACAACGGCAGCAGCAGCAGCAGCAATGAAACAGAAAAAGAGACAAAGAGAGGAGACAAGAAGGAGACAAAAGAAGGTAAACAAAAGGAGACAAAAGGAGACAAAAGGAGACAAAAGGAGGCAAAAGGAGACAAAAATAAAACAAAAAAAAAACAAAAAGGAGACAAAAAGAAACAAAAAAAAAAGGAGACAAAAGGAGACAAAAAGGAGACAAAAAAAAAACAAAAAGGAGACAAAAAAAGAACAAAAAGGAGACAAAAAAAAACAAAAAAAACAAAAAGGAGACAGTAGGAGACAGACTGACGCTGAGTATTGTGTAGGCCCTATGCAAACGACGAAACCTGAAGACACAACAGCAGCAGCAAAATACATTCTGCTGCTGCTGCTGCTGCTGCTGCTGCTGCTGTTGGTGCTGTTGCTGCTGCTGCTGTTGATGCTGCTACAGGTGCAGTTGTTGTTGTTGCTGCTGCTGTTGCTGGTGCGGCAATTGGTGCTGCTGCTGCTGCCGTTGCTGCTGCTGCTGCTGCTGCTGCTTCTGCTGCTGTTGCTGCTGCTGCTGCTGCTGCTGTTGCTGCTGCTGCAGCCCGCACTTGTCAGGTGACCCTCCTTTGTCTGGATGATGAGCGGCAGCCAACCGAATGAACGCCTGCAAACCCTAAACCCTAAACCCTAAACCCTAAACCCTTAACCCTAAACCCTAAACCCTAAACCCTAAACCCTTAAACCCTTATGATAAGCCCCCCAAATTCGATTCCCGCGCCGCTTTTTCTCATCCATATATTACTTTGTGACCTCTAGGGTTTAGGGTTTAGGGTTTAGGGTTTAGGGTTTAGGGTTTGTGGGTATGCTTGCCTGTCTGACGTGTGTTTGTGTAGCATTGGGGTGGAGTTTCAGGTGTATATACAGCTGAAAGGGTTTATGTTTTTTTTCTTTTATTGTCTCCTCTACAAGCCCCAGGGTTTGCATGCATCTGCTGCTATCGATATTAAAAAAAGGAGACACGGAGACACCACATACTGTCTCCTTTTTGCCTCTGCTGCCTAGCAATGGCTGCTGCTGCTGCTGCTGCT